CCTAAAGCCTCATATAAAGATACACCAAAACAGAGCAGAGAATAATTTTAGGACTTCTATAAAAATAAAAGCAGAGGATGTGGGGTTTTTTTTTCCTACTTTTTCCAATAGAATAGCTCTGATTTGGGTCATGAGTTATGCCAAATTCATCACGGACATATGAAATTGAAAAGCCACTGTTCAGCATCCACACCAGATGATCTTCTGCAACACACTTTTTCAATGTGCAAAATTACCATTTTTCATAGTGACCCACAGACACTGTTAAAGCACTGTGGTAAAGTGAAAGGGAAATAAACTACTCATATGGTAGGCTGTGGAATAGAGGAGAAATAACTACTCCTGGTTCTCAATCTGCCATAGGCTGGTTGTGTACCTTGAACATATCATCTCCTTCTGACTTAAGCTTTCCAATCTCTAAAGGGGTGGGGGCATATTAATCAGAAATGGGACCACCATTTACCACCATCATCTACCTCCAAATGAGCTAACACCTAGTGAAGTATGTCTTATAGCAGATATTGGGGACTGCGGGGAAGAACAAAGAACCAAAAATGGATGTCAGTGCTTTTGTGGAGGAGTACAGACCACTCAGTAGGCTAGCACTGCATCCAAGCTTGGCCTTCTAGATAGACTCCATTCTGATACTGCAGGGCTGGCGGACGCGGGTGTAGACACGTGAGGTGGTGCGTACCGCTGACAGACGCTGTGTGAGACACAGCCCATTGAACTTCAAAAGTAATGGAACTGATTCTCCAAGGAGAAAATTCCTGATGGAGCAGCAGCAAGGACATTTTAACGATCCCTCCTGGAGACGTCTTTTCCCACGTCCCTTTTCGACACCAATCTTGGCATTAAATTTGGTCAATTCTTCCTCTCAAATAATATTAATAGCAGCTACACTGATTGAGAATTTTTATCTGTGCCTTCCAGCCACGGTTTTAAACATAAGCTTTACATACAGCCTCACAGATAAAAGCTACAAAGTGAGGTATGAGTATAGTCATATTACATCTATGCCAACAGAGGTTCTGAACATTAACTTGGTCAAGATCGCTCGGTAGGTAATGGCCAGGGCTAGGATTTAATCCAAAGTCCTTTGAAATGAAATCCATGAAATGGATCCTGCCTCTGTTTCCCCCATTACCTTTGCCTTGTACTAAGTTAGTCCATTAGTACCTCCCTCTGGACCACTGCAGAACCTTCTATCTCCTTATTACCTCTCCAACCAGCCGCTATGAGATTCTTTTCCCAACACTCAATTGCTCTTCCACTCTGGCTCACAGCCCCCAGCGGGTGTACCACAGAAAGCAGGGGCTAGCAATAAATGCTTGCTGACTGAGTGAAACCTTTGCTCATGCTGCTTTCGCGTCTCTTCTGGCTACAAAACTACCGAGTTTGACAGAGTCCTCCAGCTCTGGCTCTTCGACCTTAGCAGACTTATTCCACGAATACCCACCTCATGGGTCCACCATGAACCACTATGTCCTCCACTCCCTGGGCACGCTATTCCCTGTTCCTAGAACACTCTTCCCTCAATTCCCCCTGGTCATCCTGCCATCGACTCCCTTTCTACGTTGAATGAATGGACAAGTGACTCCTCCGCAATGTAAGCCATCACTCTCTTAGTGAGTCTAAGCCCAGGACTCAGAATCCGTCCTGAAGCTTCAGACCAGGGCAGGTATTTATGAAGTACCCACACCAGGTTCTTGGGCACATTCTGCCGTGGTGAATAGTAGTTACCTGTCTTCCTGGTCTGCCCAGGAAGTTAAGTAGGCCTTTGTCTCAAGCCCCAGCTAAATAAGATCTTTCCACCTTGTATTTATAAGGCTACAACATAGGCTTCGCTTTAGACAGTTACAAATTGCAGAATGTGGTATGCTGTTTTGCTCGGACACGGGATGTAAAACGGAAAACTCCCCAGTCCAATGGCATGAAAAAAGGGAGCCCAGGCTGGAAGGTCCTCACTTTCTCTCCCACTCCTGCACTGGCCGCCGACTCTGCATCTAAATCACTCTACTCTTGGGGGCCTGGGTGGCTCAGTTGGTTAAGCGTCCAATCTTGACTCAGATCATGATCTCAAGGTTTGTGAGTTCAAGCCCTACGTCGGGCTCTGTGCTGACAGCTCAGAGCTTGGAGCCTGCTTCAGGTTCTGTGTCTCCCTCTCTCTCTGCCCCTCCCTGCTCGTGGTCTTCATATCTCTAGAAAATAAACATTTAAAAAAAAATTTTTTTAAATCACTCTACTCTTCCAAATGAAAGAGTATATCTAGGTGATAATTTCTTCTGCAAGGATGTTACTTTGTAGAGGATCTGTCCTGAAGTCATCTGTTTTGGTTAATGCTTTACGTCGGGTAAGCTTCTAAACAGGATTCCATTTCTCTCTATCTCTCCTTCTCTCTCTCATTGTTGTTGTCTTGTATCTTCAATTATGAAGACATCTGCTTATGATCTGGTGCTCATGCAATGCACTGGCCCCGGCAGGACAAAATGTGTCTTGTATTTGTGCTTTATGTGACAAAGTTCCTAAAGAGCACTTTGAGACCACTATGAAATCTAGTAACTAGATGAAAAAAATTAAATAATGGGGTGGTGGGGAAAAAACCAACATCCCATAATGTCACCTGTGAAATTCAATATAATATTCTTGAAGCAACCTAATGAGTTGGGGATTTTTTGTTTGTTTTGTTTTGTTTTGTTTTTTAAAGGGGCACTGCTGGTCTGCTCTGATCTCCTGTTGAGACTTTTGGGAATGTCTTCTTCCAAAGTAATAAGTATTGATGAAGGTCAAGGGACAAGCAAGGCTAACACCCTCAGATTACAGCAGGATTTAATTCTTCAGACACCTCCTTCTAGACTAATAATGACGCTGGAATTCAAAATCTTAGAATGCATTAGAAGCAAATGCCTTTTGAACTGATCGTTTGAATGAAGACTTTAAAAAATACGGTTTTCTCTTATAAACTAAGTGTGAGGAAGCCTTCCTATGAAATCTAGAGGAAGCAAAATAAAGCAACATATGGAAAGAGATTATAGGATTAACTAATTACATGATATGCCTTAATAACACATGGATGCTTCACAATCTTTTTGAAGATGTCATTATAAATTCAAATGAAACAAATGAATTTTATTCCTATTGCATAAAAAACAAAGAAGCTAAGATTAAAAACACTAGTAGGTATTAGTTTATTCAATAATATTTACACTAACTTTACAAATAAATGAAAAGCTATCTACTAAGAATAGTGAATTTGTATCCAACATTAATAAATAAACGGTTTATTTTCTACTTCTGTCTTTTGAGTTTCCAGATTTAGTCTCTTAAGCAGGGACATAAATACTAAGTAGTATTTGTTCAGGATTCTCTTCAATGACAACAGGGTCCAGAGTGATTTGTTTTATTGAATTAAAACTTAGACTAACAAAAAATTAAGAACTACACTTCAAACCATTTTAGTAGCTTAATTTATGACAAATGCGAAACAATTTATTTTTTTATTTAGAAAGTGTTTAATGTTTGTATTTATCTTTAAGGGGGGAAGAGAGAGAGAGAGAGCACTGAGTGGGGGGTTAGGGGGAAGAGTGAGAGAGAGAGAGAGAGAGACAGAGAGAGAGACAGAGAATCCAAAGCAGGCTCCAGGCTGTGAGCTATCAGTGCACAGAGCAACGCAGGGCTGGCAATTGTGAACAGTGAGATCATGACCTGAGCTAAAGTCGGACGCTTAACTGACTGAGCCACCCAGGTGCCCCAATGCAGAACAGTTTCAATATAAATGTGTCTTGATGAAAATCTATCAACTGCCCATAATACAAACAAGTGTTAAAGTTCACTAAATACATTCTCTTTCTCTCTTTCCTGCTCTCCATCTCTCTGTCTCTTACACACACACACACACACACACACACACACACACACACAATCCTCTTATAAACAGCTGACCAGCTAAGGAAGATGATAATGATTACTACAAATTTTACCATCTGTATATTATGGTAATCAATAATATTGTTCAAATCTTCTTAGTTAAAAAACAAGCCTAGAAGAGATCTAATATTAAGTCAATAAATATTTAGACTTATGAAAATAAATTTTCATAATCTCCTTGCTGAAAACACATACCCGTGGATTTCTAAGTACAGAGAGTAGGCAAACACAGCGATCCTCACCAAGAGTCAGGCACCACATCATCAAGGTTCCAACAAGGGGCCATCCCTCCCTTCCTCACACTTCAAGTCTTGGAACTGCCATAAACAGTTACTCAGGTAAACACACTGGGTCAGGCTTGCCTTTGTTGGAAGCAGTCTGAAATTGCACTTTGTGGTGGGTGGAGGAGAGGTCAATTTGTAAGTGCTGGTCTAGCCACCAGAGTTAATTATTAACTTATTTGATGTCAAAGAATTTGCATTTTTACCCTCATTTTTACCTTTGGTTTGTAAGTCATTCATTGCTCGAACCAGGAGGGAATAAAAAGAGGGAGGGAAGAAAGATCAAGAATTGGAAAACCAGGGCGCCTGGGTGGCTCAGTCGGTTAAGCGTCCGACTTGGGCTCAGGTCATGATCCCCGGATTCTGGTTAGTGGGTTCGAGCCCCGTGCAGGGCTCTGTGCTGACAGCTCAGAGCCTGGAGCCTGCTTCAGCTTCTGTGTCTCCCTCTCTCTCTGACCCTCCCCTGCTCACGCTGTCTGTCTGTCTGTCTCTCTCTCTTTCTCAGAAATAAATAAAAAAACATTTAAAAAATTAAAAAAAAAAAGAACTGGAAAACCAACTTAGCAACATACTTTGATTTCATTTCTTATAATCACATTCCTGGCAGTCTATTAACCTGGTACAAGTTTTCTTCACTTCTGTCTCAAAACTTTCAGCTCCTGTGCAGTCCAATCACTTTGAATCGCATGCATTAAATTGCAGAGTATAAGACATATTTACTGTATCGTTATTAACGAACAATATCATGTGTGCGCACGGCAGCGTGTCTGGGGACACGCAATGGGCACTCACCTTCGGGGAAATCGTTGGGCTGCACCACGCGCAGGAAGACGTGCACGATTTGAAAGAGACCGCCGATGGGCCCAGCTTTGTAGGAGTCTTTGGTCTCATAGTTCGCGGCAGGCAATTCAAATTCCAAGACCTCAGTCCCCTTTGTGGATGACCTTGACCCCACGGAGAGGGTATTCCCGCAGAGCTCCAGCAGCAGCAGCAGGACGCCGAGCAGCAGGGCCATCGCTAGCAAGGTCCCCTACGCATGAGGTAGAGCTGGTGGCCTCCTGTCGCAGAGGTTCTGGAAACCTTGGGTGAGCAGGGAGCCCGCGTTTCCTATTCCTCTGCGGGAAGGGTGCGGGAGCCCGGCGTGTGCGGAGTCCTTCTTTTCCCGGCCGGGCCGGCATGCAGTGAACCACCACGTCCAAGGGCCTGCTGCGGGTGTGTTCGGCTCCGTGGCTCAAGGCACCATCCCTGGTGGGAGACAAGGGCAGCAGTGACGCGGCATGCGGCCTGCCCGCCCCAGGTGCCTCCCTGCAAAGCTTGAGAGCCAGCCCTTGGCCTAATCCGCTGCGTGGGAGGCAAACGCGGAGCTTGCTTAGCGCCGCCGGGCAAGCAAGCGGGAAGGTCCCTCCCCAGGCGCCAGACGCAGAACGCAGAACTTTAAGGGTTCAGGAAACACCTTACGGTGTAGAGAAGGCTTAGAAACTAAAGCACTGAACTACGTTCTGGACAATGTTCTACATGCTGTGCTGCCTGGACCCCATTTACAGATCAGGAAAGAACCACAGAGAAGACTTCCCAGGGGCTTGCCCAAGGTCACGGCTGTTCTAATGGTGGGGCCACAGTTCAAAACTGGGACTTTGTCCAAGCTCTCAGCAAGACACCAGGACACCCTTCCGACAGGGCCCTCTGTCTCATGTTCCCCGCAGGGGCCCAGACACCTCCTGTCATAGACGGTTTTTCTCCAAGCTGGTGTTGCCGTCCTACATCTGGGGATTTATCTTATCTGCCTTTTATTCTACTTGTTTGCTCACTGACCTTGTTTCAGGCATCCGCTCTCCGCCTCACCCTCAGCCAAACTAGAAGGCCTCAAGGACAGGATCCAAACTTTCTCAGGCTGGGTAACACTGGAATCTATCTTTCTAACACATCCACCTGGGTAATCCTGATGGAAACCTCCACCCTCAAGTCACTACCTAGAAGTTATGGGTCCCAGTGATGAGAGACAGGGCACCCACCCCAAGAGCAGGCGAGAGAAATAAACAAGAAGGTTAGAAGCAGCTACCAAGCCAGTGTCTGGTGAGGGCAAGAGACCTAGAAGTTCTCCAAAGTCGACCCTGTCCCTTTGTTTTTCTGTCCCCAACACTGAATGCAGGACAGGGCTCACAGTCAGGGCTCAGTACGTGCTGCAGGATAAAAAACTAAGTAGGTCAAAATGACGGCGATGCTGGTGCCACTGCGAGGAACTAGGTGCACTGGGACAGAACCTACCAGAAGATCTGGGATGCTGTCCTGGGGTCAGGAACACCCTGATTGTATACCATTTCATACATGAGATACACACTCAGTAACTTTCAGAGTAAGGGCAGGGTGCTCCTGAAACACTGCGAGAGGGTGGAAGAGGGGTCCAGACAGTGACGCGTTGCGCAAGGGGCCGGAGGGCCCGCTGCCTGCATTCCACCAAGTCGAAGAAAGCTCCAGACGAGACGTGGGATTTCAGGAGTTATCTGAGTGGAGATGTTAATTCGTATTTAATCCTCTGGATGTTGCCTCATCTTCTAAGTCCTGTTCCATTCCAGTTGCTTCTGCACAGAGCTCCCAACAGAATGACCCTGAACTCTCTCTCTCTATCTAATCAGGGGCTGCTCAGAGCCTCTCCGGCTCCCAGCGTCAACCGCGTTAACCCCCTATGGGCTTCCGGAGACCATACTCCATCGCACCCATGGCTACCACCAGGACCCCAGTGACTTTCCACCATCCCTTCCAGGCCTGGCTGCTGCAGACACCCTGTCCTTGGCTCTACAAGCTGTAGCTTTCCCTGGTCCTGACCGGAAGTCACCAGGGTGCACACTCAAACCCGGGCCTGCTCTGTGCCATCTTCCCATCGTTTCCAGACAGAACAAATCGGGAAGAAACAAAGCAAGCTGGCCTCTGCAGGCCACTCTGGGTGGGTCTCCGGGGCTGCTCCGGGCAGGAGAGAGAGGTGAGGGGAGACCGTGTGTGTTATTCAGGGTAGCCGCTGTCCTTCAGACCAGGGGGGGGGGGGGCAGGGATGTGCACACACACTAACACACCACACACACTGGCACATACCACATACCACACACATACACAAACACACCACCCCATAGTAGCACATACCACACGTACTAGCACACACCGCACAAATCATACACACATACACACACACACCACACCAGCACATACTATACATACACACAACACACATTCACGCACCAGCACATACCACACATACACATATCACACACACACCACACACACTAGTATGTAACACACATACACTAGCACACATCATACACACGAACACACACCACAGTACACACACTAGCACACACCACACACATCCACACATACCATAGATACACAAACCACACATACAAACACACCACATATATACCACACACTAACCTGCACCACACATGCATACACCATACATGCACATACCACACACACGAACACACTCCACACATACACAGAACTTACACACAGCACACACTGTCACACAAATACCATATACGTTACCCACAGCACACACACTCCCCACACGCCCATCTTATCTTGTTTGCTGCTAACGGACGGTCAGGGAGCACAGCAGCTGGAAGGATTAGAGGCTCAGCTGCTAAGAAAGGCAGACTTCCTGCGAGGCCCCCACGCAGCCTCGGCCAGGGCTGGAGAGCAGCGCCGCAGGAGAGAGACGGCAGGAGGCCCGAGGAAAAGCCTGGAAGAAACAGTTCCAGGCTTCCTCGTGAAAAAGCAGGGGAAGGCGAATCCCACAGGAAACGCAGCCCCACGCACTGCTGGAAGTGCCAAGCCAGCCAGCCAGGGCCTGCGGCTCCCGGTCCAGATTTCTTCACCCCTTGCTCCAAAGCGTCGTGCTGTCCCTCTCACTTGTGGGGTAAATGTGAAGAAAATATTAAAATCTCACTACTTAGGAAAACTAGATAATTAGTAAAAGTTGGGTCCTCACCTGTGAAGCTCACGGGGCAGCCAGAGCACCTCAGGGCAGATCCTAACTGTCCCCCACACACTGAGGCCAGCTCTCCCGGCCCAAGATCAGCATTCCCATAAAATGGGGTATTTATTTAAAATGCTAATTATTGGACTTAATTTGGGGGGATGGGACCCATTAACGTGCACTTCTAACACTCTTCCTGGTGACTGATTCTCAACACAACTGAAGTTTGAGAACCAGCAGTGTTCCTGAGTGCTCCCTCACCTGGGTAACTCATGCCACTTTGCAAAGACGCCGTCCCCAAATGCCCTTCTTATATTGCATTGAGCTGATCCATCCCAGCTGCTGTGTGGGGTCCCTGATTTACTCATCTCTGTACCCCCAAGTCAGGCACACAGTAGGCACTCAGTACGGATTGCTGAAATCCAATGGTGAGGGGTAGAGGGAGAACTGACAGGAAATGGTCATTTTTACCTATTTCAAAATTGTATCAAGTGTTTATTAGCAGTCCCGTAGCCTCTGGAAGGGAGGTGTCGGACTGTTTGTCGCTATTCCCACAATATAGGCAGCAGACTGTCTCCTTGCTGGGTTTACCCATGGCAGAGAACTGGTCTACCATCCTAGGGCCATGCCTTCTGCTGGGACCCTCAACTTTGCAAGCCTTGGAAACTGTTCGCTCGGGGGCTATCTCCTCACACAGGCACTAGACCAATCAAGAAGTTGATCTCACCATTTTCCTGATTTATGGGGTGCAGATTCCTGGTCGCCACTCCAAATGCACTGAGTTCAAACTGGAAAGGGGGCCCAAGAATGTGAATTTTGAGCAAATATTTCACATGACTGTGACCTTGGAGCCCAGGGAATGGCACTTCCACAAACACTATTTGAAAAGCAACTGTGGTGACCATCCACCTTCCTTTCTCCTTCTTTTGATGGAGCTTCCTTCCAAAGGAGCTTTGTAGTGGGGATTGATCACCTGGGATTTGGGGGAGGGATGAGACCAGCTCAACTTCTGAGCCCACCTTTGTGAGTCCTGTGGGCAACACCCCGGGGTTTCACGGTGAGGTCAGGCTGAGGTGCCCAAATTGTGCCCTGGGGGGTGCCTCAGACTCACCAAGCAGATGCTTACTGCTGGGTGTGTGTGGGGAGCCCAGACTGACGCGGGGGCAGTTTCTAATTCATTCTAGCAATGACGGCACAGCGTCAGCGGCCATATCCAGAACCTTGCGGTGGCAGCTATGGCCACACACCAATCAGGGGTCCTGTTGTATGTCCCGCATGAGCTCCTGAGCCCGGCTAGCCAGCCTCCTTGTCACTTCTCTAAGCCACCCAGTCCAAAGTCCCATTTCTGCTAAAATTACCCAGAGTGGGCTTCTATCACTTGTAACAAAGCATCCTGCCCCTTGACGTATCTGCAGTAGCTCTTGGTCCCCTGAAAAACTTTATCCCTTCATATTTGAAATGGTACCAATAAAATAATATTTGGTTTAAAGCCTTATTATTTAGATACACTTGTCCGTTGATACACTTGTTTGCTTCACGGTGCTGGAATGCACAGAAATAGTCCAGTGCGGAAATCATAAGGAAGTTCATTTAAAAAAAATGAAATTTACGGGGCATATTAAGAAAGCCAAATGAAACTAAAGGCCGTTGCTGAAGTGATAAGAGGCCTTACTTGAGACAAGGCAGGAGCCTCTATTCCCACTCATTAACCCTGTGATGTGAGTTACTTACATTCTCTGTGCTTTCCTTCGCTGTCTGTAAAGTGGGGTGTTGAATAGTGTTGGAGGGTTAGACCCGGAACGGGTCCAGCCCCAGGCACACAGCTGCTAGTCAATAAAGGGTCCCTACTGCCATTACCCGGGGTCAATCCCCCAAACTCCATCGTGACCTTGGGCTCGCCCTAATGGACAGGACAGCTCTGAGGAAACTCACAAAAGAGTGAGAAAGGCTTTGAGCCACAAAAACGGCTCAGTTTCATAAGGCTCAACCGAACATACAAAAGCAGATGTTTGAGTCTCCAGAGGGGCGCGTTCAAGGACCCCAGTCGTTCACCTGCGTGTCTTCACAAAGGTCAGCCGCTGCTGCCCACAGGCAGCCTGGAAAACCTCTCCGGATCCGGGAGCCCGGGCGGGAGAAGGGTCGGCCGGCGCCTGGGGCCACACGCCTGGGGCTGCAGGCTGGACCTGTTGCTGCAGGAAGCCTGGGGCGCCGGCTGGCCAGTCTCGCTCTCCACCCACCGCCAAGCTGGGGCCCCCTCCCGCCCTCTCCCCCTCCGCGGCAGGAGGCTGTCCCGGGCTGCGGGACACAAAAGAATGGGCTGCAGGGCAGGCGCGGGAAGCGAGGAGACTCGAGGAATCCGCCGCCGCTTGGGGGAGGGGGTTGCCGGAGTAACTTGGCTTTGGGAGCGCGTCCGCGCGGGTTCCCCGCCGCCGCCGCGGGAAGGCTGCGTCGGGGTCGTCGGGGAGGAAGGGGCCCAGAGCGGTGTGCCACCCCATCGGATCCCCTCCCTCTCGGCGCGGGCTTTCGGGGAAACTGACCTCGGGCCCCCACCTCGCTTGCACCGCGAAGCTCTCTCCTCTGTCCGTGTTTCTCTTTGTTGTCCCAGCCGGCGCCGTACTGGCGAGGTGCGCCCGGAGCCCGGAGCCCCCAGCTCTCCACCCCGCAAACGCCGGAGGTGCCCAAGCTGTGCACCCAAGGAGGCAGGGGGCTCTCCCGTGGACGAGGGAAGCGGCCTCCCATTGCTCCCCTAGGGTCCCCCTCCCGCTATGGTCCATTGCACCGCGTACTCCATTTGGAAGACCAGAGGGAGGTGACCCCTTTCCATCCCCAGCAAGGAAGGCTCGGCGCCCCGCGACCTCCGGGCCACCCCCAGCCCTCCACGCGCTGCAGAACAGTTCCCCAAACCCCTGGCGAGCCTCCCCCTCGGTCCTCCGCCCTCTCCGAGAGCGAACCCACGGCCTCGAGGGTCCCGGTCCCGCTGGCGTGTGCCCTGGAACCCGGTGAGCCACAGCCGCCGGCTCCCCTCCGGTGGATGGAAAGAAGACCCACCAAGCAGCTACTCGGCAGCCGGCAAAGTTTGCGCGCGTCCACCCTCTGTGCGGAACTCCCGCTGGCCCCGCACCCGAGCCCCCTGGCGTCCAGGCTGCTCTCGGGGGGCTCCTACTACCTGCCGCTGGGCCGACGGGAGGAGAGGGGCGCAGGGCGAGCCCCTCCTTGCAGGGTTTCCTGTCACCGGCTTTCTGGAAGGGGGTGGTGCGCTCGGGCCCCCAACGTCTCCGCATTCGCCTCCCGGGCTCCGCGGGCAGCAGGACGCCGCCACTCACCGTGCGCGGGGTCGAGCTCGCGTTTCGGCCCCAGCGCCGCCCGCCCTCCCCCTGCAGCGAGGCTCGCCCAACTCCCGCTCATGAATGATTTATGCGCCGCTCGGGGGACCGCCGGGACGGCTTCCGGAGAGGCTGCCCCGCTGCCCCGCGCGCGGGCCAGTCCCCGGGACGCGGCGGGCCGGGAAGGGCGCCGGCCGTGGAGGCGCGCGAGCGAGGCCCGCGGCGCCCGCGGGGACCTGTTGCGGCCTCCCCCTGCTCCCGGGCGGAGCCTCGCGGACGGAGCCTCGGGAATGGCAGTGCTCTCTGGGGCATACTCACCGCCGGCGGGAGAGCGGAGCGTGCGGCCAGGTCCCCGGGCCCGGGCCGGGCTCGGGGTTTTAAAGGTCGCTAACTAAGCCTGGGGTTCAGGACGCGCTCCGCACTGAGTCGCCCGGGCGGCTTCCCCGCGACGCCCCCGAGGCGCCCACCCGGCCCAGGGCTGCGCGCATTTCCCGAGGCGGGAGTCCCGCACAGCCGCGCACGCCCTGCGCACAGTCCCCACGCCTCCTTCACCTAGACTGAACCTCTCCTTGGAATGCAGCCGCCCGGCTAAAAACTCCTCCTCTCTCAGACGAGCCTCGGTTGACTCCCGCCCCCAGTCTTAGATCTTCTATGGCTGACCCCCAACGGACTTCGGTTCTCATTTACCCAAACAAAACCAAATCCAGATCATTTGGTTCCCTACTATAATACCGATCACAAAAGCCTGGAAAACCCGCCTAAAGCTGTCATTGCTCTCATCTAGATATCTAGGCATCCGCTGTAGCACGAGGCAGGATGTAATTACTCTTCTCAGATGAGGGGCGGAGAGTCCCCGGACATCCTCTCCTCGCGGCGCAGCCAAGCTGAGGGGAACCTGCCCTCAGTACTCACTCCCTCCCCTACCTGCTCTCACCAACGGCATCTCACGCCTCACTCACCACTTCCTGTCTTCAATTGAGAATACCCTCTGGTAGGAAAGGTAAGGTTTATGGAAGAAAATCACCCTCAGTATGGTGTCTAGCACACAGTAGGCGTTTAATGTTTGTGACATGAATGGATGGAAGAATGGACAGGAACATTTCCTCCTTAGCTCTCACTTCCCCCAGAATCTATCATAAAACCCGTGCTGGAAGGAGCATTGTTTGTTTGATTTAAACTTTAAATTGATCTTAAACTTTAAATTGATCTTGAATGTGTGTGTTTCTAGGACAACAAATGTTAGTTCAGGAAATTTCTGAAAATGACACTGCAGGCGTGGCCAGTTTAGGCGGTAGTTTAAGTCTTCTAATCAGGCCTGAGGTTTCCTTTCTGAAGCCCCTCCTGGTCAGGGGCCTCTGCCTCAACACCTCCAGACACCCCCCACCCCCACCCCCACCCCCCACCCCCCGGCCCAACACTTCTGTTCAAAGGCAGTCCTCTCAGGCCTGGGCCCAGAGGGGAGCCCTCCCGTCCTGACAGCAGCCAGCTCTGACCTGCCTAAAATTTTGGCCCTGTCCCTTTTTATCTCTGTGACTTTGGCTGCTTAATCTCCCAAGCTTCAGTTTCCTTGTCTGAAAAATAAAGACAATCATGCCTCACTGGGCTCGTGTTTATTCCTAGTAATAACAGTAAAAATAACGACAACAGTAGTAGACATGAGTGTTAACACTTAATGAATGTTCCTTCTGTTGAACAGGGCACTATGTCGGGTGTTTTAAGTGCATTATTTTGTATAATCTTAGCAACAAAGACTGTGGATTATCTCTATCTTAAAGATAAGGCTAAAGACAGGTTCAGTAACTTGCCCGAGGTCACAGAGGTATGAAACGAAACAGTGAATTTAAACCCAGAGCTGGCTTCCAGAGCCCACCGTTGCCCTAACAAAACAGTGTACCAGAAGATAACATAAAACTTCCGGTCCTGGGCTCCCCTGATTGACAATGTAGTGTGGCGCTCTAGCACCACATTGAAATGGTTGGCCATCTGTCTTCCTGTAGGCACTGAATGCTTCAACTGCTTTTATCCATTTCCCTACCCTTCCCCCCACCATCCAGCACCTTCTCTATGTGGCCCGTTGTAGGTGTTCAATCAGTGAATGAATAGGTAATAAACATAGAACTCAATACTCAGATCTGTTCTGAGCAGCCTTAGGCAGATAGTGACACGGGACTTAATGATGTACTCTGTTCAACTCAGCTTGGAGTCCTAATGCTACCATCCCTCTGTCTAGCACAACTGAATTTCTCTGGCTGGAAAAGGTAATATTATTCCCAGTTTTCCACCCAGTCATGAGGTGTAAAAATTTGGTCTTCTTTTCTGAAATCGCCCCTCATTTTTCCCGCCCAAATGAAATCTAAACATGAGGCAGCGTAGCAGCCTAGAGAGAGCCAGGAGATTCATTCAGGTTCTGTCGTTAACTGCCAGTGTGGTCCCTGGGAAGTCACATAACTGCCCTGGGCTTCACATTCCTTATTGGTCTAATAGCTTGCTCAGTGACCATATAAGGCTAGAGGCTACCATTTCGGACCCTGGAGATCAGGGACATTTTCATCAGCACAGGAAGTTCTAACGGATAACACTGGTTTAAATAATGAACCGTAATAAAGGAAAAATGACAACAGGATGGGATAAGGAACTTAAGCTTCCATAGAAATTATCAGGGCTATGTGGCATTGGAAATGAAGTGCTGAGATTAATTGTTGTCAGAGTACAATTGTTGTCAACACTTGGCCATTCAACAATCCTTAATCTCTGACAAGCCGTTCCTTATAAAGGACTTTATATATTCTTCTCTGAATCAGAATAGACTGAAATAAAATAGGCTAGTGAGTATATTATTCTAATTAATATGACATTTTCTACCATAAATAACTATGCCCCCCCCCCATAATGTGTTTATATGACTAACAAACATGGCAGCGTATGACCCTTTAGGAAACAAGTTTGTGTCATTTCAATATCGCTGCCCTGACTTAAGACTGAAATTTGTGTAAGAGACAGATAAGGGGAAAGGGAGAAGTTAAGCAGGGGCAGGAAGTGGGGGTTGTGGGGAAAGAGAAAGAGAGACAGAGAGAAAGAGAGATAGAGAGAGAAATTGATTGTTCCAAATAGAAATTCCACTAGTTTTCAAAGGAATGGCTTCATGAGAGCCAGAGTTCTCCCATAAACGTTTTACCTCATGCTTTCCCGTTCATCTTGCTATTTCTCTCCTTGCCTCTGGGCTTAGAAACCAAAAATAGCACTGCTGATGTTTATAATAACCAAAAGCAAAAGAAAACCATTCTTCTTAAACTTCAAGAACCTTCAGGTAAGATTTGTAATTCATTCATCAAGCCCATTGTGTACGAATTCAAAGGCAGAGGAAAAAAACTTCAACCCAGTTTGGACAAAGAAGAGGAAAGACAGAGCAGAGGCCGAACCAGGGCCGAAGCCAGTGTCTCAGCGCTTGGATTCTGAGCTTGGATTCTGAACCTGGGAATTTGGAAAATCCCATCACACTTACTGGGGGCAGGCGTGGGGTGGTTTTATATTTTATGTGTTGAATCTATCTTCAAATTGGTTTCAAATAAATGCTTCATCTCTAGGGCTGGCTTTCATCTGTACCGACATCATTTTTAATGTGCACTAACTCAGGGCTTCATAATTTGCCTTTGGTAACCGTATGGGAAGAAATGAGCAGCACAGGACAGAGAATTACAATGCATTAGGATACTTGATCTCACTTTCTCAAGGAGGGCTAGATGCCTTCATCTAAATGCTTGGACTGAGATTGAGGAAGGAGGTAGTCAAGAAAGTTCCACAACTTCTGTTTCTATAGTTGTCAGTTTTTATCATATGCCCTAAAAGGTTCACCCGGGGACCGGTAATTTACACAACAGTAAAACCGATATCTATGCTAAGAAGTGTTTTACCCCTCTGGAAATAATTGCTATTATTACTTCCTTCTAAGAATTTGCCCTTCTCTGCCCATCATCTGAAAGCAAGTGTTAAGGCATTTGTTAGTCACTTGTTCACTAATTTTCACACAGCACCTACCATGTAGGTCAGGAACTAGAGATTCCACTTCCTTTGATCCAGAACATTCTTGTGGGGGGAAAAAATAAAACTTTTATCAAATACTATCTCTCCTCTTATTTACCTCTTGCATATTTTCCTCATTGTGAGACTTTAAAAAAATCATTCCCATTTGCTCTATACTTTATCTGCGACAGAAGCTGTAATCAGATACTTATTTTAAGCACAATAAACTGTCTGCTAATTAAAACACTCTTTTTTGCCAAAGCAACTAAAATGTTAAATTATAGTCCCACCAAACCTTGAAGGCATTAAGCCAAGTGAAATAAGTCAGAGAAGAGAAAAAACAAATACTCTCTGATCTCACTTATATATGAAATCTAGTAAAACCAACTTATAGAAATAGAGATCAGATCTGTTGTGACCAGGGACCGAGGTTGGGGAGGGGGAAAGGGGAAAGATGCTCTAAAGGCACCAACTTTCATTTATGAGATAAATTAATTCTGGGGATGTAATGTACAGTCAACAATACTGTTTTGTATATTTTGCAAGTTGCCAAGTGAATAGATTAAAAGTTCTCATCATAAGGAAAAAGAATTTCCTCAGTAAAACTGGAAAACATAAAACAAAATAAAATAAAAACTATGAAATACAATATAAAAATTATAGCTCTGGGGCACCTGGGTGGTTCAGGCGATTAAGCATCCAACTCTTGATTTCAGCTCAGGTCATGATCTCACGGTTCAGGAGTTCAAGCCTTGCTTGGGATCCTCTCTCTCTCTCTCTCTGTCTCTGCATTCCCGATTGCCTATATAAATATCTGTTCATGCACGCGTGTTCTCTCTCTCTCTCTCTCTCTCGATATAAATAAATAAGCTTAAAAAATGTTTAGTTCCATACAGCTACTTATTCCACAGAGTGAAGAAGACAGCTATTTTTTGTGATGTAGTGGAGGACGTATGGGATGTGGAGGTTGAACAGATATGGGAATGAGTCCCTACTCTGCTCTTTCATTCATTTGTTCATTCTTTTATTCGCTCATATATCGCTTATCTATGCATTCAACGGATATTGACTAAGCTCCTTCTGGGGGAGAGACTAAGCAAAGATATGGCAGAGAATAAAACAAAGGGGTAAACCCTTGCCCTCCCAGAGCTCACTCTAGAGAGAACATGAGGCATGACATCCACCAAATCAATAAGCATGTTCACCGTATACCCTTGAATAAGCTACTTAACCTCTGTGAACTTCAGTGTCCTCACCTACAAAATAGGAGTTTTGTGAATGAGCTGACATATATAACATACTTGGCATAGAGTAGACAATAAATGGTAGTTATTTTATCTGCTTTTTTTTTTTTGAGAGAGAGAGAGCGAGAGAGAGCGAGAGAGCACTCGAACAGGGGAGAGGGACAGAAGGAGAAAGAGAGAATCCATGCTCAGTGCGGAGCCTGACACAGGGCTCGATCCCACCAACTGTGAGATAATGACCTGACTGAGCCACCCAGGCACCCCTGTATCTGCTCTTTCTATTTCTCTGTCAA